TAGCATAGAAAAATTTGTTTACATTAATATGAAAATATGATTTTTATAAATTATATCTTTAAATAAAAGAAAATATTGACTAGTATAGCAATTTATGTTATAATTATTATTAAATGTATGTAAAATAAAAAGTAAATAAATGGTATTGATATAAATCAATTATAATTATTTGGTATCATTATAAATTGGATCTATAATTAATGTATACACACACATAAATTCAGACATATATTTGCAGCACACATTACTAAAGGTTGTTCAAAAAATAAGTGATCATATCTTATACTTTATCAAATTGGATAAGTAAAGTGAACTGACAGAACTTTGTACGCAACATATCCTGTTAGAAACATAAAAAATTTTGTTGTAAAAATTATTATTTGATAATATTTTAAATCAATTATTGCTTTTGAAGTCATTTTTCTTTTTTTTCTTTTTTGTTATTATATGCTTACAATGGGTCTTGAATTACTAACTATGTTTATAGAAGAAAATCAGATTCACATTATAACAAAACAGTGAATGAAAATCTGTATTTTTTAATCAAAACTAATTTTAGTCAGTCAATGTCACATCAAGATTTTCAATACTAAATATTTGAATATATCAGTTTTTTTCTATTATAATGTTAAAATTTCTGAAAGTGTATTTGTACAAATTTTGCATATTTACTATTTTATATAATTTTAGTTTTATTTTTTGAACTACCTGTACACATACATAAGAAGTCTCAACACTTCCTTTAAATGTTGCCCATATTTTCAGAACGCAAAGTAATATATATTGTTTTTCACTGAGATACTTTTCTATATTGTAGAACTATGCATATCATTGATTGCATTTCTAATAGAATTAAATAGTGTACGTTATAATATGATTAAATTTATCTTATATACTTTATTTATTTATGTGAAAAAATATAGGTTCCATTTAAAGAATGTTTAAAAAATCTTAAAATCTTAAACTGAATACAATAAAATGTAATTGATATTATACATATAAATTTCCTTTATATTTGTCATCCTATAATTTTTCCCTTCTTTTCTGCTTTGCCAAAAGCAAGACTGAAAACAATTGATTTTTGTCAAACAACATTGATTTACTTTCATGTACTTATTTAATTTGCTTGCAAAACAGGTCTTTTTATTTCCTAATTAATAGATGATTACAATAAATTAATACCATATTAATGTAATAATGTGTTATATTAAATTATTCGTAATTTTCAAGATTAACATATATACATATTTCTTATTTCACTTTCATTAAAACATTCATAAGGTAATGTAAAAAATGTTTCATTAGAAAAAAGCTAAATGAAAAATCATTCTGAGTATTATGATAGACATATATTATTAATCCTGTAAGTATTAATACTTTGATAGGTCACAATAGACTTAAACAAATTTCTTATTCTTTCTTTTTTATATAGCAGTATGGTTCATAGTTCATCCTAGTTTCCTTTTCCATTCATTAGTAATAAACAATAAAATAGTCCAAGTTCTTGAAAGTTTAAGTTTCAGTCTATATGTAGGTACGAACCTTTGAGGATTAATTTATTGAATTAAGAATTGATGGATTAATAGAATGCAACAATAGCACATATTCTAATAATTTGAGTTTTATTAATTTTATTTATTATACTATGCATTTGAATATTCTTAATCTTATATGCAATTATGTAATTATGCAAACAATTCAATGAGTTAAACAAACTTTAGTGATAGAAATATGTACAAATGCAATATATAACTGATGAAGTTATATAAAAACATAAAAGAAGTCCACATGAAATAAAATTCTATTTTGGTATAGAGACCGAATGATTACAAGCAAGTAAATCGAATTTATTACCTATAATCTTGCTTTTGTGCAAAAGAGAAGTAAATTATTGAATATAATGGTCTTGAATGTAATAAAAAATGATAGTTTATTGCCAATCCTAAAATCTACTATTTTATCAAACGTACATTGTATACATGTAAATCTCTTTGAAATTTGAAGGTCACTTAGATTTTTATAAACTACTGCATTATGAACAATTTTTTATATGAAATAATATAGGCCTACAATTCAAATATTATTTTCATATTAATTAATTAGGATAAAATATTATTACACTTAAGATTGGATTTCCCACAATACAATGAAGACACTTTTACTACAGTGTTACAACCTTTTTGAAAAGGCGAAGATTACAAAAATAATTAATTCAATGATGGATGAAACACGATTTTTATAATTGAATATCTTGTTAACCAATCACATATAAGGAATAATATCCTTCTTTCCTACTTATTTATAAAGTTTTATCAAGGTTCTTACATCATACACTTTGCGGTTTAGTGACAAATGAACATGTGGCCGCAGTTACAATTTTTTACTTCTGCGTGAAAAACACGCAGAAACAAAAGTTCATAAACACAATGCCAATCACACTATCAAAATTGAACTTAGAATAAGGTAATCTTATTTAGTTCCAATAAAGCATAAACAAGTTGAAGGATGGACTCATCGAAACAGCTTTTCTCGTCTTAATCGCAATATTATCGAATAGTTAGAACTGGATTCTCTTATAATGAATTCAGAAAACCGTAGGAAAAATAATTAAAAATTATTAAATGTGTGTACACGTTCGGGTACTTTATATAAACATAATACTTACAATAAGACATAAAAAAATCAGAATGTATATTTCGAAAGAATATCAAGTTTTTATATATTTTCTTATTCTCGCCATTTTGAAAAATATATCATATTTGCGAGTTGTGCTTAAGAATGTATCGAAATTCAAAATATTTGTTTACCACGTTACCTATTTAAAGGTTATGAGTAATTAATACTAAACAGTTGGAATGACTGAATTAAGATGATCAATAATTTTGTATGCACGAAGAAAAATTTGAATTTAATTCTGCCATATATCTTACATATAATTAATCTACTTCCATGTAACTTTCGACTTTACCCGATTATAAGTTATTTACAATACGTGAAAATATATAGGCATGTGTAGATTATACCCTGAATTTGCAATACCTTATAATCTATGAAATAAGGTATGAGGATCCTTTGGTTTTAATCAATTCAAGTTCATTTTGGCAATAATAAAGAGAAGAACTGTCTTGAGGAGTGTTCTTCATAAAAATTGAAATTTATATATCAAAATAATTTTCACTTCATCTGCAAGAATAATATTTTTTCATCTTTAGGAAGTGTTTAAAATTAATAATATTTGTGAGAATGATCACTTACATGTGTTCCTAAATTTGAACTATTTATATTTTAAGAATGAAGATTTAAATTTTGAAATCATAAAAGAATACTTTATTTCTTTTGATATAAAGGTTTTGTAAGTTTTCTTAATTTATTTCATTATTTTAAGATTCTTTTGCTCAAATTAAATGTTTAAAATACTAGAAAGTGTATTTAATATTTTAAATTT